GCTATCTCAACGGGGTTATGTTGAGAAAATGCTAGAAAGGTTTGCGATGAGCAGCGCGAAACCAGTTAGCACTCCATTGGCGAATCACTTTAAGCTCTCATCAGAACAGTGCCCTAAGACAGATAAGGAAGTTGAAAATATGACAAAGGTTCCGTATTCTAATACTGTTGGCTGCTTGATGTATGCGATGGTATGTACTCGTCCTGATTTAGCTCATGCTGTTAGTCAAGTTTGTAAGTACATGTCTAAACCTGGTAAGCAACATTGGGATGCAGTCAAGTGGATCTTTCGGTACTTAAAGGGTACTGTGGGACATGGAATTGTTTTTGGGAGTCAGCGGGATAATCCTTTGGTTGTAGGATATGTGGATTCAGATTTTGCAGGTGACTTGGATAATAGAAGATCTACGACAGGGTATGTGTTTACTCTTGGTGGAGGGCCTATTTGCTGGAAGTCTACTGTTCAATCTGTCGTGGCACTATCTACAACTGAAGCTGAATACATGGCAGCGGCTGAAGCTGCAAAAGAAGCTTTATGGCTTCCTGGTTTAGTGAAGGAGTTGGGTGTTCAACAAGGTGGAGTTCAGTTGCTTTGTGATAATCAAAGTGCTATTCACTTGGCTAAGAATCAGGTGTATCGTGCTAGAACTAAACATATTGATGTAAGGTTCCACAAGATCAGAGAGTTGGTTGCATCTGGAGAGGTTTTGTTTCAGAAGGTACATACTGATGAGAATGTCGCTGATATGTTCACCAAGCCAGTTACAACAGACAAGTTCAAGCATTGCTTGGACTTGTTGAATGTTTCGAGTTGTTAAAGAAACAAGGTAACCCAACCCACATTGAAGTTTCCAAGGGGCAGGATATTCGCCAAGGTGGAGATTTGTTAGGTATGGCTCATAAATATACCAGTAAAGAGGACAGGAGATGGAGTGAGCGAAGCGAACATCAACTGTCCTTACAAAGAAAGTCTCGTTGTGGGGTTACAAATTATGTGGGTTGGGGGTGCGGGGGCGTAGCCCCCGCGGTACGGTACAGGGTTGATTTTGTAATTATGTACCAGGGTTTTCTATTATAAATAGAGATGTAACCTAGACCTAAAATATCATTGAATAAAATTCTAGCGCCGCCTAGGCACCGAGGACGTAAGCACATTGCCGAACCTCGTAAAATTCTCGTGTTCTTTCGTTTTCTTTACCCGTTTTCGTCAACATATACCTATCCAAGAGTGCATGTCATGAGTGACATTGTGCACATGTGTGGAAATTCAACATTGGGCTTTGAATTCAAACAAAAAGCACAGGTGAAATTGTTTGAATTCTCAACCCTTCCCTCCATGCATGGCCGGTTTTTAACCTCCTTATCCACTCATTTAACACATGCAAAATGTGTTAAATGCATTCAAAATCATCCACACAAATGGACAACAACACAAGGGAGTTACATGGTGGTTTTTCATTTGAGTTTTAAATTCAAAGCCTGATTAATTTGTAGCCACAAGTGATGGCAGGCCATATCTCTCTTTTACCTATATATTTTGTAATTTTGTAAGTGCAAAGGTTAGACATTTTATGAATAAAAATTATTGTGAGGTTTTTCTCTCAATGTTGGTTCTTCTTAGAACTATTTTCTTGACATTTCAAGTCTAATCTTGTTGTGTCAAACTTGTAATAATTCGGGTTCTTAGATTGCTATCTAACGGGTCCAAGTCCTTTGAACATTGAATGTATAAGGTTCGGGTTTATACATTTTAGTATATGTTCTTCATTGTTCTTTGTTTGTTAACCAAATTTCCAGATTTGTTCTTTCACCATTATCATCTTCACCAAACATTCATCTTCCACCTTTCATCATTCTAAAATTCCAGCAATCTAATTCCTTCTTTTCTTCATCCTTTCTTAGCCATTTTCGTCCATAGCCTTAATTATACAACCCACACCATCATCCTTAGTTTAATAAGTTTGCTACAAAGGAATTACTCACTTTATTCTAGATCCATTACAATCGAAGATGTCCTCAATCAACAGGCTGCCTCGTATCATTTATCCTTACTAATAATATAATGCTCGTTTTATAATAAAATAAAAATTTATTTTATAATTTTCGAAATTGTAGTGTCTAAAAAATTATCAGTGCAATCTGAGAACATTATTCACCATGGTTAAATAAAAAATAAAAAAGACCGGTCAAAAGTACAACATTCATCAACACGCACGTGCCTAAGAAAAAGATTTATTTTTTATTCAATTAACTTTTGTTAAACAGCTAAATTAAGATCATCCTTCTTTTTTGGTATATTTGGTTTGAAAGAGCCTTTGCTTTACTATTATTGTTTTTTCTTTTTCAGTTCTGTACATTATCATAGAGGAAGAATAAAAAAAGTTGTCATCAATTCTTCCTTGGAAAAGTCTGGTTTTAGCTTGGAGAAATTTCGATTCTTTTTCCTGGGAAATGGATGATGCATACGCTAAGCTTATCAGGAGGGTAAACCAAACCAGGTAAATTTGTTTTAAATGAAACTGTGCTGGATAGTGGGGGATTTTTTTTTTTTGAATTTGATTTATATACTATTTTTGTTAGATTTTCCAAGTTGCTTTGGATGATGAGAATTTTTATAGGAATTTGAAGAAGATTGCTGTGTGTTCTCTTAAAAACCGATTAAGGTTCTGCTATAATTTGGCAAAGTTGTTCTTTTTCTTCCCCAGTTTCGATGGCAACCAATTAGAGCAAATCTGACATGTTCTCTTCTTGGCTCTTCGTTTGACAAGTACTGTTTTGTTGTTGCAGAGTGGTGATTGACAATAATGCCTGTGAGGATGCCACTATTATCCAGGTAACCCAAAATCATCATATGTGGTTAACTAGTCCCTTAATTCCTTTTATCAAATTACTCATATTTGGATTTTGGAATTTGGTCTTCAATTTGACTGTGTCAACAAACATGGTGTTCTCCTGGAAGTAGTCCAAGTGCTCACTGATATGAATCTTACAATAACAAAATCATACATGTCATCTGATGGAGGATGGTTTATGGATGGTAATAATTCTAAAAATTTGTACTAATTCCAAGGTTAACCAACTTGATCATGTACTGATTTCTTTTTAATGTTTCCCATGTTTCAGTTTTCAATGTTGTTGACAATGATGACAACAAAATCAGAGATAAGTTATTGACTATATCCAAAGGGTTAGAACCTGATTTATATATATATATATATATATATATATATGTTTGAGAATGTTTTTTATTATTTGATCATTTTCGCTTTTACATTTTACTTTTTGCAGATAATCGAAACAAGTGCCGGCTTCTTACCTTCGCGGAGAAGCTCAGTAGGTGTAATGCCTTTGGAAGAGCATACATCAATTGAACTTGCAGGGACTGATAGGCCTGCCGCCTGCTTTGTTATCTTAAGTATGTGCAGTCCCTGCGGATCTGCGTTGCAACGTCGTAAATGCAGATATTTGGACTCATAACGCCCGTGCTGCAGCTGTAGTTCATGTGACAGATGATTCGACAGGCCGTGCAATCACCGATCGGAAACATCTACAATGAAGGAATTACTTTGTAATGTTCTCAAAGGGAATGATGACTTGAAAACAGCAAAAACAACACTTTCAACCCCGGCTCTTATGCATAGGGAGAGAAGGTTGCATCAAATCATGCTCGCGGTCGCGGATAGGGACTACGAAAAGGTGGAAAGAGCCGGAGTAAGGGCGGCCGCCAAGGAGGGCAGCTCAAGACCCCAAATCAGTCTGTTGAATATTGAGAAAGATTACTGTTATTACCATGAGGTCAAAAGATAGGCCAAAACTATTGTTTGATATTGTCTGCACTCTGACGGATATGCAATATGTTGTTTTTCATGGAATGGTCAACACATCGAGGATGGTAGCTTATCAGGTGAGATGGGTGACTTAAGAAAAAGCTGATGAATGATCCGTTTTAATGTAATGACATTAATCTTTTTTTCTTTGCAGGAATTTTACATCCGACATGTTGACGGTCTTCCGATAAGCTCGGAAGTGGAGCGTGTCTGTGTTGAAGCGGCCATCGAGAGGAGAGCATCTGAGGTATAGGAAATCATCTTCCCACCATCACACACACACACACCCCGGAAAAGAAAAGAAAACCCTTGGTTCTGATAATCAAAGCTGGCACATTAATGTAATACCCTGTAACATGTCATGGTGCAGGAGCTAGAGCTAGAATTGTGCATAGAAGACAGACTTGGACTGCTGTCTGATAGAACCCGGATTTTCCGGGAAAACAGCTTGGGTATCAAGAGAGAGTTAATTTCTACAAAAGGTGGTAAGGCCAACGACACCTTCTACGTGATGGATGTGACGGTAAATCTGGTGGATCCCAAGATTATCGACTCAATCTGTAGACAGATAGGACGGAGTGCACTGAAGATGAAACGTAGCACAAGTGTTGCGCCGAAACCACCTCAACAAGAGAGAACAATTGGTTATTTATTTGGAAATTTGTTCAAAGCTCGTACTTTTTAGAATTTCAAGTTAATTAGATCTTACTCGTGATTTTTCTCCCTGCATGGTCGTATATTTGATGGAGAGATATCAGCTTAAGAAGATATACATGGGGAGCAAGCAAAGGAAAAAGAAAACCATGTAAAGTTTACCCTCTCTTATACTGTGTAAAAGGAAAAGAAAAGCATTAGCCACTTACTTGTACTGTAGAAGTTACTGCTGGTGATAGTATCTCTCTTGTAATTGAAATCTGCACAGCGAATGCTTACAGGGGCTGTACAGAAAGTAGCTTGGTGTAGAAGAAAATAAGTTTCTTGTGGATTACATTCACCCTTTGTTTTGGTTTTTGTTTGAACTCGAGAACTAAACTCAGCCTGTTTTAGAAACGAACTGTAACTGCAATTGCGCATTCTAGGCACGTGAGCATTTTTCTTCCAGGAAAAAGAAAAAAAGAGAAGTGATGATATCACATGTGCTGGCTGCTTCTCAAAACCAAAAACCTTTATTATTATTGAAAAAGAATCAATTAAATTGCCTATGCTTCTCAAATATGCAGTACAGAAGTTCTCTATAAGAAAAAGGGTTAAAAGATTTACAGGGAATGTACATAGCAAGTGTGGTTGTCAATCGTCAAAGTGTTGGATCTCACCCATCATTATACGGTTGCTTGTGACTTTGAAACCTAAAAGGGCAGGATCAATCTGTCTTCCTCTTTTCCCTTTCTTCTTCCCGCTTCGTCCAGCTTGTGGAACTCCGTCAGAGGGATCTAAAGAAGTGCTGTTAGCTGCCTCAGTCCCGCGAAGAACTGGCTTCTTTAGAATCTCTATGAATGATGCTTCAGACAATGCAGCACAATCACAAGATGACGTCCTTCTAAAACCAACATCTTTCTTGCCCAATGCCCGAGTTTCTATGCTCCTCATTGCACCTAGATGTGCCGCAATCTCTTGTCTTCCTTCTGAACTCGCTAAATAAAATACAAGATGTGACCAGTATATACAATTGAAGAAAAGATAAATACATCTTTTCTCTGATTAAAGAAAGAAAAGCCAAAATCATACTATCATCAGTTGTAAGGCTTGTAGAATTTTTCTGCTTGACAAATTCCCCTGAGTTTTCACCAGAAACTACATCCTGGGATGAAGAAACCCTTAGCGCAGGTGGGCATTTCTGTGAAACTTTGTCCAGTCCCTTTGCCAGCATTGAAGGTGACCTATCAATAAAAGAGAACATTAAGATGGTTCTGCAAATTAAGTTAAATGGTTAAAACTAAGATCACATAACAATAAATTTAACACAAAAGCTCCAACATTGACTCATACTCGTCTTAGTAGCAGTAGCAGCAGCTATTACAAGTTTAGTCATGATAATGGACCTTACGTATTATTCTCTCACATAAACCATGTAGTAAAAGAACCCCACCTATCAGTAGAAAGAACATCTCTAACCGACTTATGTAATCCATCTTCGTATCCATTCAACCTGCTGCTCCCATCTGCACAATTTCACCTTTTAGGATTTAATTAATACAAAAAATGGATTATTTATTGGGGGAAAAGTTCAGGAGATTACCCGTACTAAGAGAATTATGCCGGCCATGGATGCTACTTTGTAGATCACCACACTCCAAGGCTGTCTCCACTTGCACATTATCCTTAGACCCCGACATAGAACCATTCCTTGCAATCATACCCTTCAATCCATTTTTCGTCTCCTTTGCTTCCAATTCTGCTATTTCTACATCCACAGCTGATTTTCTCATCAAGCTATCTTCTGCATAACTACCACAAGAAGAGTCTTCAATGCCCATCAAGAATGATTGCTCTTCTACAAAGGAGTCGTAACCAGCTTTAAGAGGAAATCTTTCACAGTTAACCATTTGGTTGACAGAACCACTCACAGCAACTCCATGCAAATGATCTTGCAAAAAGGTACTTGAATCAGAATTTTGAAGGCCTTCTGGAAACAAGTAATTCACATGAAATTCCTGATTTGGAAAACGATTAAAAGGAAAACTGGAAGTTTGCTGCTCGGAAACAGGCCAATAGGTCTCCCTCCCTTTAGAAGATGAAGTGGAATGTTGACAATCTAATTCTGATGATTGCATAGATTGAATACCAAGTTTTTGTTGAAGAAGGTCCATTAAAGCTTTCTTAGAGTTTTCATGAACCCCTCCAGCCGATTCCCAAGTGCTTGAATCAACTTCAGACTCCCTTCGCAATTCTGTTTCAAGATTTAAATGTTGCATCTGTTTTATGGTCCAACTATTTTCTAGCCGCACATTTTTCCTATTGTCAAAGCTCTCCGTTGCACCAGGATGAGAAGCATATGCATTATTTGGAATATGCTGGCTAAGAGATTACCAGAAGAAAAAGGACCAAGTTGGTTTTTCGATTGCCTATAACGGTTTTCAGCTAGATCCAGAGAATTTGTATTTTCTACTTTCATCCTAGGAGAAGCTGCAGGGAGATTCAACATGCCAAATGCTGTAGAGTTGGGGTCAAAATTCCCTCGCTCCGGCAGGTCCTGCAAAGAATGATTCTGTCTATTGCAGTATGGCTCTTCAAGAGGTGACAGCCTCTGCTGGTAAATATCTGAAGCATTCAACCCCACAGAATGAGCCAGATGATGATTGCTAGGATTCCCAACAAATGGACCAACTTCATCCACAGACAATGAACCAGCAAGCCTCCTAACCCCCTCCATTCCTAATTGTTGCCTCAATGCCATTGATAATTGCTGCACTTGCAACTGCTCTTGTTGAAGACGAAGCTGATGCTCCGAAGGAAGCATACTGCCATACTTTGCCTGTGACATTAAATCAAAAAATTCAGCTTATTGCCCTTGGCACTCTACTTAATCTTTGCTTGGATGATCTGCTCCAGTGATGAATCCAGGTGCCTTGAAGCATGAGAATTCTGCTGTGATTCACTCGGGATATGCCTTCGTAACTGAACCTGATCAAGTATGTTGTCTCTAGAAGCATCGAATACGTGCTGACTGTAACCAGGACCAGACATCTGATGCAGCAGCAATTGATCAAGAAGAAATTGCTGAGATTGAGAATGTGGCAGCTGTAGATGATGATGTTGCTGCTCCTGTAGCAATTTGATTTGGTGGTGGCTAAGCTGTTGCTGCCGCCGCTGAAGTTCCAACTGCTGCTGCTGCTGCTGAAGTTCCAGCTGCTGTTGCTGTTGCCGCTGAAGTTCCAGCTGCTGCTGCTGCTGCCGCTGTAGTTCCAGCTGCTGCTGCTGCCGCTGTAGTTCCAGCTGCTGCTGCTGCCGCTGTAGTTCCAGCTGCTGCTGCTGCTGCTGCTGCTGCCACTTAAGTTCCAAGTGCTGCTGCTGCTGCTGAAGTTCCAACTGCCGCTCCTGTTGAAACTGAAGTTCCAAAAGATGTTCCATGTGTGGAGCTGAATGATGGACTGACTTCTGGTGATCAAGATTTTTGCTCATCATAAGATCAAAACCATGAATTTGCTCCACATCAAATCCAGCAGAATGTGGAAAGGGGAGAGAGAAATGGTTTTTCTCTTGAAGTGGTTCATTGGGAAACGTTTGTGACATTAGCTGCTGTAACAAGCCAAAACCATCATATTCTTGCTCCCTGTGAGATGAGGGCCGATCACCAGTAGTTCCTAGATGAATGTTAGGGTTAGACAAAGGATTTCTAGTATAATCATCCGGCCAAACCTCTGGAAAAGAAGTTCGTTCAGAAACTGTACAAGCAACACTCTGACCAGTAAAATTTGTCTCTCTATCAAGCAAATGATCTAAAAACTGCCCCCCAACACTTATGTTGGATTCTATATTAGATGATTGAGAACTCTTCAAATCAGATGGACTCCTCAACTCAGACATCAACAAACCAAAGGAATGTAACTCAGCTTCTTGATGAGAAGTTATATTCGTTTTTAAAAATTCATCTGTAATGGACAAATGGCTTGCAGGATCAACACCAGCACTTCCGGGCCTTCCAGGAAAAATTATTTCTGAATCACACAGGAGGAGGGGAGGCATCATTAACAAACACAATAAATAACAAAATCAATAATAGGTCCAAACAATTAAACTTACCCTCTTCCTGTGCTTCAGAAAATTTAAGGAGGCTCTGATCTTCAGAATGCTCAGAATGATAACTTTGAGTAGGCTGTCTTAACTGAAACTCAGTACCAGACGCCTCAACAGCAGACCAATTCCGCAGCTGGTCACATCCAATGGAAGACCCCTTCGACTCAGGAGCAGAAGCAGAAGATACAGTCTCTCCCGAGCTCCCTTCAAAAGAAATAGGTAATTGCATTCTCGTAACTGCATTACCACTGGCTGCAAAACCATAATTCATTCTTAGGTGTGGCATGACTTCACCAAGTTCTTGGAAAGGTGATCCATCCAGAGCATCCTCCAATCGAACAGGTAAGTCTGTACCAAAATAACCTTGCTCAAACCATGTAATTATGTCAATTCCTAGGTATGGTCCCTGAATTACCCCTTGAGGATCAAGATAGCACAAACTCAAATCCTCAGGAGGGACAACACTTTCCCACGAATGTGCCCCATTATAGCCGTTAATATTTATCTAGTTAGGGCGTAGAGGAGGTTGTAATGACGAAAAATCAAATAGAGAACTTGAGTCTTCAGAAAGCTTGCCACCCACTCCAAATTGCATGGATGATTCATTATCCTCCAACGTAGCATGTTTTCGCATTTTTAAATCAGTGACTTGTCCATTATCAAAAGAAATTATTTCATCAGCATCATTTATGGACCCACCAATCTCCCTATCTAATACCAAAGCATGGGTTACATCTATGTCAGATGGTGGCACACATCTCAGCCCACTTTTCGAACTATTCATTTCTGTAAGGACAATCATAAGAAATCATGAATATATTCTCAATGGACAGCTGATAGTCGACAACTAAAAATGATAGTTTCCTACCCTTCATCACACTTATCTGTGAACCGGTCACATATGTCTCGGCATGCTTCCCTAGATAGTTATTGTTTACAGCAGCCTTCTCACCAGAATCAACATTATCCTCCCTGTTAACCAAGGAACTTTGTTTCCCTTCACCTGAAATCACATCAGTAAGATCTGGATTAGGAAAAAAAAGGAGACTCAGAATCTCAATCATATCTAATTATTTACTAGGTAACACACTAGCAAAAAATTCTGGATCCATACTTGTGTCTCTATATGAGTTGTACAACACTCCACTGCTTGTAGCTTTTCCCTTCCATATATCTCCAAGGACAGCCTGTAAAAATCAAGCAACCAAATTTGATGCAACCACATAGAAGGGTAAATATGACTACACTTCTCTTCTCTAAATCAGATTAAAAGCAGCGTACCTCTTCTTCTGCATCAGGAGGAACAAAAGCCAAAGGCTCGACAGTTTCTTTTTGTGTTATTGGTGATAAATGATCCATCTCAGCAGACAGGATGTAAAAATTTGGAGCAGCCTTTTGCTTGCGGTAAATGTCAAGGAGTTTTCCTCTTGGGTGGCAATATGTATTAAAAGTTCTGCTTTTGTCCAGAGGAAGAGATCCAATGACAGAAGCAGATTTAGCTTCCCAATTTGTAGGCTTCCATTAGCATTTGATCTACCTCGTCCTGCAAACCTCACATTTGATCCCTCCACTCGTCCCTTTTCTGAACCAAAGCCTGGAGCACTATGGTAAGAAACAGACCCACCTGCATGAATTTCCAAACGATGTCGTGGCCTCCACTTATCACGAGAATCATTCTTGCAGTCAGAAGCTAAGCAGCCCCCACTGAGAAGAGCTTGTTTGTCAGTAGGTGCATCTTCCTTCTCAACATCTGTCCTCTTTTCAGTTCGAGAATCCTTTTCTTTGACTTCAGGACCCCATCTTGAAGACCACTTGTTGTCTCTTCGAGATTCAAGGCTTGAATTACGACTGCTAACATCATGCCATCGCTCTGAAGATGCCAATGTCCTATTTTCAGAAACATCCCTTGTCGATGAAACATCAGCACGGCAGTCTTCTTTTTTGCGATCTCTTCGGCCAAGTAAGCTTGTTTCTCTCTCCTCTTCACGCCAGTGATGACTGCTTTCAAGATCAGGGGCAGTTCTCCAGCCTTTCTTGTTCTGAGACCCATCCAACCGCCAACTATCTTTTGGATTAGGATCACCAGAGGTTTTATTCGGCAACAAATTTGAAGTTCTTATAACCTGTTACAGCAAATAAATTATAACACTTGGAAGGGATGCAAACCAAAATAAAAATTCGTCCACAAGCTAAAATCATATAAATTCGTGATGAGCATTATTAAATGACAGAATCTAGTCTAACTATTTTTTATGTATTCAGATATAGTTTTTACCCGAACTTAAACCACACAAGGATAAAAAATACTAGAAATCAACACATTAAGCCCTCATATGGAAATGAACGTAAGTACCCTAAAAACTTAATGAGAGAAATTGTGTTCCATACCCCAGAAATTCCAGCAGATAACATCTTAGAATCAGATGGTTTAGCGTAAAGTCACTGTGGGGACAAAGGTATGTTGCTCTCTGAAATTGCTTGATCTAAAAGGAAAAAGAAAAATAAAAGGTAAAATTTTACAATTAAAGAGCTGTTCAAGTTTTCAAAAATGCAGAAACTTAACAATTCAACAAATATCATCACCTTTTGTGTCCTCAAGTAACCCCGTGAGTCCTTTGTCCACCAAGTTCCTTTCCCATGCTTCACCTAAAAAATAACAAGATAATTAATACATAGGTGAATTTGGCAGACAACACATAATCACAACTTCCATGTTTGTTTCCATGGATTCCCTAAATAATCAAATTATTTGAGAATGAAGTACCATGTTTCCGTGAAGCATGTGAACCATTCATTGAATTCAATCTTTACAAATAATTAGAAGAAAGCACGCTACTCTACCGTGTCAACTTCAGCCGTTGCAGTTTACATTTTCCAATAGTTATGACAAGCAACAAAACTAATATTCAATTATTATTAAAAAAAAGTATGATCTGTTATCAAATCACTGATGCATTTGAGTGGAAGGTTTGAGCTAAATATAATTCAACAGAGAAATAATTACGATTATTTTTTATTATAATTTCTTTGTTTTTATGGCGAAAACATATGAATAACAACATGGTAAAAAGAAATGAAAGGTTTGAATAAAATCGAAATGAGATCTTAGGGGAAAACAAATAAATGATGAACGAAATCAGAAATTTACAATTAATATGTTAACCGGAATAATAAAGGTAATACAATGAAATATTCTGTAAAAGAATAAAGATAAACGAAAATGCAGAGATTGAAATGAAATGAAAACCTATACAGTAGGCATCCAAAAAGTTAAAATTGGAGGAAACAATGAGAAATAATTGATCGAAAAGGCAGAATACCTTTGGGGAAGGAGTGATCAGAGCTGGTTTTATCATCAGGTAGATCTAATTTTCTGTCAGCCATCGAGAATTCTAAAAGGCAGAATGCAGCGGAGATACTGCGGGTTTTAAGATTCTGGAAAAAAAGCGTCGGACGTAGAGAGAGTTCAAATGGGTCGATGAGAGAGATGGAGAGGGTGGAGAAGGATTTTGGAGAGAGAGAGAGAGAGGAATTGCTAGGTTAACAAAATAGCATTTTTGGGGGAAAAAATATCTTTTTTCGCTTTGACAGAGATTGAGAAAGACCTTTAAATTAAATAGATATATATATTTTTTTTAATTTGAGATAAAAAAAATTAATATATATTTAAAGATAATTCTTAATTACTTAAAATTGAACGCTCATATTCTTGATAGTCTTCGTATTTGAATTCAAAACTTCAAAGTATGATAATAATTCTTTTACTAAGGTCGCTCAGATCGTGCTTGATCATTATACTTTAAATAACTATAATAGTCATTAAAATTATGGGTAAACTACACAGGTGACTCTCGAACTATTTTACCTTTTTATTTTGAGCATCAGTGTTTCTGTTTCGTTAGTCAGATCATTTAACTATTTAAATGCTTCAATCAAGTTACTAATCGTTAACGGAGATAATGATGTGACAGTTAATAAAATTGACATAATTATATATTTAATCTTTAATACTTACATATTTTATCAATTTAGTCATAATTTTAATTTAAAATTTAATCTTTCAATTTGAATGTTCCACACAGAGAGTCTAAAGGGAAAAAGCACAAATTATAGAATTACTGCTTATGGGATTTGAACCAAGGACAATGGCTGTTAATGGGTATAATGAGCATGTCTTAACCACTAGGGTACACCATCCATTTAATTTTTTTATATATATTTTGTTTTACATTATGATATAACAAAAAGAAATAATAGAGAATTGCTAGGATTTGGACCAAGACTCTACTTTGAAAATGAAGCACTGTAACCACATAGACAAATCATACTCTTGAGTAATATTTACAACAATATATATAGGATAAACTACAAAATTGATCACTTTCGTTTGAGTTTTATAAACTTTTTTCACTGAATTCAAAAAATTTAATATTTTCTCACTTTCGTTTCATTTTAATTAAATGTGATTACTGAAAGTTAACAGTTGTTAAACCTTTAATGGTTTGCTGATGTGGCACGACAAATATATAAAATTAAATTTACATCATTTCTGCATAAATAATGTGTGGATTAAGTTTTCGTCACTTTCCTTTCATATTTGTACACTATTACTCACCAAATTCAAAACAAATAAGTTTTGTTCACTTACGTTATTGTTTTATTAAATTTTGGTCACTTACGTTATCGTTTTATTAAGTTTTTGTCACTTGAACGTTGAATGTCATTAGTTTGATGACATGATTTGTTAGTAAAATGGTTTAATTTTTATTTTAACCCCTAAACTTTAGACAAATTACTGATTTCAAGAATAATGCAAGATTTCCAACTTTTTATAACAAATAATATCATAAGTTCAGAGAAAATGAGAGGATATGAATAAAGCTGGGTAATCTCAGTTATACAAACTAAAAGGGTTAAATACCCCATTCATATATGAACTATACTGAATTCTTGGTTTCATACATATAGTGTTAAAAACATTTTGATGTTTCTATATAACAAATTAAGTTTAAATAAATTTTAAGATTTTACAAATGATTTTCTAAAGTATATTCGATTTAATTAATCGATTATCAAATTATTACTCCAAGTCTTTCAAGATCAATTTCAAACCTGACTAAATGAGTAAAATTGTGTTTTATACATAATATATTTTTGAAACAATTTTCACAAAGTATTTTGAACCAAAATCAAGCCTAAAATCATTTTTTCAAAGAGATGCACCGATGCACCAATCCATGCATCGATGCACATACCATGTATCGATGCACTCAGAGTTTTATGAAAACATCGAATGTATTTGATGCATCGATGCACCAGACATGCATCGATGCACTCAAGCTATTTTGAAACATCGAATGCATTTTATGCATCGATGCACTCTTAGTGCACCAATGCACTAAGGGTCCAACGGTCAAAATATTTGAATTTTACTCTTGATGCACCGATGCACTGACGCTCCCAACTAATTTAATTAATTGTTTTCACACTTAAATGGCTCTATTGACTCCACTAATCATCCTCAACGTTCAGAATCATTTGAAGGAGTATTTAAACAAGCTTAGAAGCCATTGATCAACAACAAGAAAAACACAAGAAACAAGAATCAAGAGAGAATCAAAGAGAAAGCATCAAACCTCAAGTTTGAGCATTTCAAGCCTATTTTTCATTCAATATTCATTTTACTTTCAAGAACACTACTTATACTCAATTGTATTCAATTTTTTAGTGTTCTTTTCTTTGTTCTAGAATTTTGCAAACAATCTACTTTGTGAGGATTTCCTTGTAAGTTTGCAAATTTGTAATATTCTCTTTGAGAAAGAGTGTTCTCAAGAATTATGGTATATTCTTGAGGAAGTTGTAAGGTTATCTCTTTGGCCTCAAAAGAAAGAACAAATTAGTGAATTTGTTGGAAAATCCTTAGTGTGGATAGCTAAAGTAGTGGACGTAGACTTTGGTTGAGAAAGTCGAACCACTCTAAATCGCTGTGCAAATCTTTTCAATTTTCTGCAAAAGCTTTAACCAAAATTTTAATTGCCAATTCACCCCCCCTCTTGGCCAATTCCATCGATCGATTAACTCAACAATTGGTATCAGAGCCTCACTCATTTAAAGGTTTAATCTCCACTTGAGTCGATTCGGGAAGAGTTACATCGATTATCAAGTCATCAATGGCCTCTACTTTAAATGTCGACTCCGATCTCGATTCGATGCCCGTCAACAAGCCTCTTTTCTTCAATGGAGCTAACTATGCCTATTGGAAGAATAAGATGATGTATTTCATTCAAGCAAGTGACATGGGAGCATGGAATGTTGTAGAAGACGGATATATCAAGCCTCTCACTCATCCAAGATTATGGAGTGAATGAGAGACAAGAATGTTCCAGCTCAACTCCAAAGCCATCCTTATCATATTTTTTTCTTTTGGACCAGATGAATATGGAAGAGTTTCATCTTGTACAACGGCCAAATAAATATGGGATAAACTACAAGTCACTCATGAAGGCACCGACGAGGTAAAAAAATCTAAAATTAGTCTTCTAACACATAGCTATGAAAATTTCAGGATGAAACCAAATGAAGATATCAAAGCTATGACGGATAGATTCTCAACAATTGTAAATGGTCTCAAATCATATGGAGAGATCATTCCAAATGAAAAGCTTGTGAGGAAGTTAGTTTACTCACTTCCAAAATCGTGGCAATCCAAGAAGACGACAATCATCGAGGCTAAGAACCTAAAGTCCTTAACTCTTGAAGAGCTAATCGGTTCCCTCCTCACTCATGAAATTATGCTTGAAGATGAGGTGGACCTCGATAAGATTGACGAGACACCAAAAGAGAATAAGAAGAAGAAAAAAAATTGGAGTTGCTCTCAAATCCACAAAAGATGAGAGTGATTTGGATGAAGATGACGATGGCGATGACGAGGAAATGACATTGTTTGCCAAACGGTTTAGAAAAATGATGAGACCTTACTGAGGAAGAAAATTCAAACGAAATGAAGGCATAAAAAATGAACCAAAAGAGAATGACCCTATCATTTGCTATGAATGCAAAAAGCCGGGGCATGTCAAATATGATTACCCACAATTGAAGAGAAAGGGTCAATCAAAGAATAAGCACAAAGCTCATGTGGCTACATGGAGCGATGAAGAAGGCTCCGATGAAGAGGAACAAGAAGTAGCAAACTTGTGTTTGATGGCATTCGGGGAAGATTCTAAGGTAACCTCTAACTCATTATGAGAAATTGTTTTTAAAATATAAAAATGATGTTTCAAAATTGAAAAATGAAAATAAGCTCATATCCAAAACCAACAATGATTTTGAAAGTAAAATTAGTGATTTGCAAATCAAACTAGAAGAGTTTGAAAAGAAAAATTTAGATTTACAAAATTTACTTTCAAAGGTCAATGATGATCATCAAAGAAAATTGATGATCATCAAAAGAAAATTGATGATCTTAAAACTTCTTTTAATAAAGTTGGAACAAAACGTTTTGAAAAAGGGGAAAATTCAAAAACCAACTTTGTTAGAAAAAGTTTTAAAAACTACAATCATAGAAGTTCCCGAAGAACCTCTAATGAAAAAATCGTTAGAAGTATATGGGTTCCTAAAGGACTCATTACTACTAAAGATAAGGATATCCTATACAAATGGATACCTAAAGGGACTAGGATTTTGAAAACTAATGAATATGGACCCAAAAGAATTTGGGTACCAAAAATAAAAAATTAATCTATGTTTGTAGGAAAAGGAGCATTGCTACAAGGCATGGGAAACAAATTCAAACTCATGGTACCTTGATAGTGGATGCTCAAGACACATGACCGGAGACAAAAGCCGGTTCATAGAGCTCAATGCCAAAATGGAGGAGAAGTGACTTTTGGTGATGATTCAAAAGGTCACATTAAAGGTATAGGTACTATAGGTAATACCTCTTCCATACAAATTAATAATGTTTTATATGTGAATGGATTAAAGCATAATATATTGAGTATTAGTCAATTGTGTGATAAGGGATTCAATGTCATGTTTGATATTAATGGTTGTAAAGTCATTGCTATTGCATCTAATCATATTATGCTTGTTGGTCATAGAATATGAAACATATACATGGTGCATTTAGATTCTATTGATATGACTAATTTATACCTAGTTGCTAAGGATGAGCATGATAGTTGGTTATGACATAGAAGACTAGGACATGCTAGTATGAGTAATTTGCAACGGCTAATTTAAGGAGATTTAGTTTGAGGGTTGCCTAAACTAAAATTTAATAATGATAAAATATGTGATGATTGTGCTAAAGGAAAACAAAAGCGAGTTTCTTTTAAATCTGATGTATCAACTAGTAGAGTATTACAATTGATCCATATAGATCTTTTTGGGCCAACTAGAACTACTAGCTTGGGTGGAAAACAATATGCATTTGTCTTGGTAGATGACTATTCTAGATATACTTGGGTTCTATTTTTAAGTACTAAAGATGAAGCATTACAACATTT